CATTTTTGTTGCCCTCCGCTGGACTCTTTCCAATTTTTCCACATCCTTCTTGTAGTGTGGGGCCCAAAACTGGACACAGTACTCCAGATGAGGCCTCACCAATGTCGAATAGAGGGGAATGATCACGTCCCTTGATCTGCTGGCAATGCCCCTATTTATACAGCCCAAAATGCTGTTAGCCTTCTTGGCAACAAGGGCACACTATTGACTCATATCCAGCTTCTTGTCCACTTTGAGCTGAAAAAAGTCTTATCCAACATGCTCTGCACTCGCGCAACAGACTGACTGGAAAATTGTGGGCTAGAAAGAAATGGAGCTAAAGTAAATAGGGGTAGTGCGGAAGCAAAGTGGGATGCATCAGTACTACCACTTGCATATGAGTTACCTAAAATGCTTCTCTTACTCATGGGGTACCAGTGCTACTGCGGCTTATCTGGGAACATATTGGAAGACTTTCTCCCTAAGTTTGCCTGTGTGCGGGTCCCTTGGAGGCTGCTAAGCAAGAAACGTAGCTGTGTCAGATGGTTACTCTGGAGAGCATCTGGAATGTATTAAAACTTTTACGAAATGTACAGAGGAGAGGAGTCAAGAGCATCTACAGAGAAGAATTGAACACTGTGCAGCATGTAATAAGGAGCCTGCCATAACCCTCAATACATCCTTTGCAGAAAGGAGATGACTTGGCTCCCAATTCCTATCAGGTATTTCTTCAAAATTCTTCCTCTCCCCTGCCTGTGCCATATGGAACAGTACAGGTTAGAGAGTTTGAGGTGGCTCCAGTGAGCAACGGATTAGGATTTTGGAAAGATTTCCATTAGGAAGTTTACAAATATCCTAGATCAGCTGGACTCAAGAGAGTAACCTTGAGTAACTGTCTTGAGTTTGCAAATGACAAAAAAATGGGGAGGGGTAAATAAGGAAGAGGACTGGTCACTGGTTCAGAACAATCTGGCTCACTCGGTAAATGGCACAAAGTAAATGTACACTTCTAGGAACAAAGAATATAGCCCATACTTACAGAATGGGGAACTCTATCCTGGGAAGTAGTGACTCTGAAAAAGATTTGGTGCGGGGCATGGTGGATAATCAGCTGAACATGAGCTCTGTGTGATTCTGTGGCCAAAAGAGCTAATGCGATCTTGGGATGCATAAACAGGAGACTCTTGAGTAGGAGTTAGGGAGGTTCTTACCTCAGTCTTTGGCACTGGTGTGACAATGGCTGGAGTACTGTGTCTGGTTCTAGTGCCAACAATTCAAGAAGTATGTTGATTTAAATTGGAGAGAGTTCAGGGAAGAACCAGGAGAATGATTACTGGATTAGAAAAGATGCCTTCTAGTGATAAACTCACAGAGCTCTATCAATCTAACTAACAAAGAGAAGGTTAAGGGATGACTTGATTAGTCTGTAAGTACCTACATGGGGAACAAATATTTTATAATGGGCTCTTCAATCTAACGGAGAGAGGTAGAGCATGATCCAATGGCTGGAAGTTGAACCTAGACAAATTCAGACTGGAAATAAGGTGTACAGTACACTTTTAAAAGTGAGGGTAATTAACCATTGGAAAATTTACCCAGGGTCATGGTAGAGTCCGCATCGCTGACCATTTTAAAAACAAGATAGGATGTTTTTCTAAGTGATATGCTCTAGGAATTATTTTGGAGAAGTTTTCTGGCCTCTGTAAGACAGGCGGTCAGACCAGGTGATCACAATGCTCCCTTCTGGCCTTGGACTCTATGGAGCTCCAGTTCTTCAATAGTCAGTTATTTAAAAGTCTTCAATAATGTTTGGACTGCTGTACATGATTAGGTATTAGCACTTCAAACTGAATCTAAACAGGCACAGCAGGTTTTCTCTCACATAGCAGCTGGCATCTCGGTAACGTTTAGACATGTACAGAGTCAATGTTCATAAAGCACTTAAGTGCTGAAAATGGTTAAGTGCGATTATTACTACTGTTGATCTTCAGCAGTGCTGGCCAGAAAAGTGATCCTCTCTTCTGGCCCCAAAGTCGCAGTGCACTTCCTTGACTGAGACCTTGTGGTCCGAACCTGTGTTCTGCCCTGAAAAAGGATGGGAAAGATAATAAGTGCATGCCATGCTTTGTGGAGCAATCTGAGCCTAGTCCTTATCTCAGGCCTTATCGACAGCAGCAAAATTCAGACGCTAACAAGCCTTCACCCTAGGTTGGCTCATCCTAGGGTTACTCCCTGCCCTGTCCTTGCCTGCCCCCCCCCCCCTAGCGGGAAGAGAACCCTCCCCCCACCACCTTTACCCTGAATTGGAGCTAATGAGTAGAGATACTCTAAAAATGAGGAGTAGAATCCGGTGTAAAATTGTTTGACCAGCTCAACTAATGTACACCATCTGCACGGGGCTCAAGGATAGAGCAGAATGAGTCAGCAGATGCTGTCCCTGTGAGGTCCTAAAATCTGAAAGTCAATCATAGACAGGTCATGGATACAGTCCCCTCAAGAGAGCATGTATCCATCTAATATCTTATACTACGCTTGATCTTACAGTTAAATACAGCCAACTTGCCATAAAGAACATCCAGAGGACGGAAAGTGTCAGCCAGTAGAAAACTGCTCTGGGATGAGGGTACTTCAGTAGTTGTTTAAGATGGGATTGCAATATCTGGGGTGGGGAAGGAGGATGGGTTGTCTTGGGGCAGAATAAATGGTATTAACTCCTCCTCCCCTCCCCAACCCCACCCAGCCCACCCCTCTCCCCCGCCAAAAATTCCTAACTCCAAATAAAACTTTGAGATATGATTGAACCTGGCCATAGCTCAAATGTCTTTTGGCCTGGAAGGTGACTTTCAACTGGAAAATATCTCCAGAGTGAATGCGGGCGCACTGGTGGAAGACCTGCCATGTAAGTACAGTGAGACCTGAGAATAGCCTCCAGTTGGCCAAACCCTTGTGTATCTAGTATCCCTAACAATCCTGTGCCATTTTATATAAGCAGGCCAGAAGCAATGCGTCCTTTGAGATGTAAAGGACTAGACCGTACTCTACCAGAATACAAGTGGATGGTGTGGCTAATGTTTTCAAACCTGTGTCTAAACTTTGATGCCTAAACAGGGACATGGGTACCTAAATAAGTGGCCTAATTTTCAAAGATGCTGTGAACCCTTCGCTCCCCTGGAGATCACGGAGCGCTGTGGGTGCTCCGCTCTGGAAAATCTGGCTGCTTATTTGGATGCCTCATTATGGAACAGGGTCCTTAACTTCAGGCAGTTGAGTTTTGCAATCGTTGGCCTGTGATTCTGTGCAGTCTTGATTAGGCCCTGGTCATGTGCATTGTTACAAAGGTACAGAATTAACCAGGTCAGTTATTCAAATGTCTCAATAGCATTGTTGTGATTAGACCGTTCTAACCTGTTTTATTAGACCTAGCTGAATATTCTGAAGATGACACCAGTGATTGCACAAAGAACTCTCTCATTTAGTCTGGAAAAGTCATGTACATCAAGCTGGGAGCTTGCTTAACTGGTTGAGCTTCTGATCACATGCCAGCATGTGTGCACTGATGAAACCAACTTATGCCCAGACCATACTTAAGATTTATTCTTAGCAAATGCTATTTAAATTGCATTAAATGTATGTATTTAGCTGTAAATGTCTGCTGTAAATATCCAAGTGTGGCTGCTGGTGTACTCCTAAAGAAAGTGGTTTCATCAAAGATTTCCTTCTGTTATGCAAGAGCTGACTGACAAAATCCATGGAGCTACGGCTGAACTACTAATTGTAAAAATGCACAGTAAGAGTGAAGCACTTATCCCTTCGCTTTGAGTGTGTTTTGGGTTTAAGCCTTATATACTCTTCAACAACTTCCCCCCCACACACACACACAGTTTTTTATAGTGAATTATTTATTCTGGTGCTTTTTGACATCCATCAATACTGTTGCCAGTAGAACAGCACCAGTTCTGAAAAGGCTATTTGAAGTAGTTGAATTACCTGAATAATACCAATGTGGAACTTACTAGATCTCCCATTTTTGCTCTGTCAAGGGCAGTGTGTATGGAGGGGATGGGGTGGAGATTAAGACAATTTTTGGATTCTTTGGTAACGGGATTTTTTCCGTACAGAAAGGGGCAGCAGTAACATTGCGGTAGCCAGAAAATGCTCACTGACACTTCACAACCATGTGACTGAACTCCATGCAGCCAGCGCGTGGAAACATGGTATTTAGCTCAGCTGTCCGACGGACGACAAGGGAAATACTTTTAGTTCAGCCCTTCTGAATTCTCCTAAAAGGACACTGCCATGGTACTTCATATTCTGCCGCCTCTTAACAACAATACTGTTACAGCTGTGTTTCTCTCCACACAAACTTGCTGCTTGTTGCAACTGCTGGGCTTTAACGAGGTTCTCTTCTCTCTTTAATAATCTACAAGTCCTTTACAGAGGTAAATATGCAACTGTATGGATTTTGAACTTGGTTGCTCGTGTGTTTCTTTCCTCCCCAAAATAAGCCCCCAAGAAGGGCAAAATGCTCCATGAAGTCTATCAGTACAGTCCTGTACCTGTTCAGAACTCTGAAACTTCAGTAGAAAACCATAAGTGATGGAAAACATTGTAGCATCTTGGTCCTTGAGGTTGCTTCTCTTCCCAGCTGTGTCCTGGCTGACAAAAGCTATCACTGCCAGAAGAGGGAGGAGGAGGTCTCACTAGTTGAAATCCCGGAACAAAAAAGTTGGGAATTATCTTAGATCATTTTCCAACTTAGATGGAAGTAAAGTGTGATTGATTGATTTTTAATAACTGGCCACCCATATATTTGGGAACAGAGGAAGAGGTAGATAGAAAGGCCTGGTGAAGTACACAACGGAGGATCAATTTGGGCCCTGTTTTGCAGCGGTCTCCATACTGTTGGACCCATGTGCCCCTCCTCAGCTCATTGCAGGACCAAGTGTAAATTACACTCCCCATGGCCCCCTTGCTTGGGTGAAATGGCCCAAGAGTGAGATCCTTTATAACACTCTGGCATTCATCAATGTTAAATTTCCTGAGCGAATAAGTCTATCAGGTTTCCATCAGTTACTACTATGTCTATATATAGTTTCCCTTTCTAAAAATAAAAGCTCATGGTACTTGAGCAGTGTTCTATTCCATGACCCCTGGCTTCATATGAAAAGGTACATAGGAAAAACGGCCAGAGGCGTAGGGAGCCATGCATGTAGGCACTAGGGACAAGTCATTCTTGTGTGTAACTCCTCGTGCAAATGGCTCACTAAGAAATAAAAGCAGTTGAAATTACAATATTTCTTAATTTTTAGATTAGGTGGGAAGTCATTTTCACTGCAATTTCCTACCATCACTTTATGCTAAATGTGGAGCCTTGCACAGAATTTTTACTCACTAAAAATATTTCTTGCTGTCATCTCTGGCTAGGAGATCAAATAAACAAAGCCTGTGACTGAGAGATAATGAAGCTTCAGTATTTCTGGTTTTGTTTATCTGATCTTCTAGAAGAAAGGTACTCGCGGCATTGCTATGAGCAACAACTATATGAAATGCATCAAATAATTATGAAAATATTTGTTTCTGAATGTAAAGTTAGCACGACATTTGCTTTAGAGTCGCATCTATGTGTATGTATGTTAATATTTCTCTAGCATCTTTAGCCAAGGATCTCAAAGTGTTTTCAGACTTAGGAACTGATCTTATCAGCTTGTCCACGCAGGCATGAGCAAAATTCCCGCCTGTGCAGAGCAGACCTCAGGACTGGAGCTCCAGCGCCTTAGGCAGTCTCACAATGCCCCTGGGAGACAGGTCAAGTACCTCAGTGGTTAGAGAGAGGCACAGATTCGGTCGCTTGCCAAAGGTCAGACAAGGAGACAGTGGTGGAACTGAAGAGAGCGCTTGAGAGGCCTGCTCCCGGTGCTGCGCTTTAACCAAATGGCTCTGGAGATATAATCACCCTAAGGCCGTGGGAGGCTCTCAAGGGCTGGAACGTTGGGCCATGCCTGCATTTCTAAGCTCTGACCAAAAGGTGCAACTATCTGATGACTAGTGCGTAATCCTGTATGTAACTAGTGAGTGGTCTGACTACAGGCCCTAACAGACAGGGTATCACAAATAGCCTCACCATCCTAATGGGCAGAGATGTCACTTCCCCCTCATCTCTCCAGCACACAGAGCAGACTGGGGCACGCGAGGAAGCTTGTTCTGCTGGTCTCACTAGTGAATGTATTTCAGGGCCTAAACAGAAGGCTTCAGGTTCCACTCCCCTGCATGTGGCACTTTTCCAAAGCAATCCGTAGATCTTATTTTTTAAAGATGATGTGGCCAGGAGTTTTAAAAATAGAGCTTGGGACTTTTTATTCTGCGGTGTCTGAAAAAGGCTTGATAGGGTTTTGTTTAGGGCCGGACTTTGTTTTGTTTTTACTTTCAGGCGATGTCTGATCTATGCGCTGGGGGTACGATCCACTGCTCATGTACGCATGTGCTAGCTCTCCTTGAACTAGCGTGAGTATAAATAATAGTGAAGCCGCGGCAGTGCGGGTAGCAGCAGGGGAACCATGGCACATACCCGTACAGCTCAGCCTCCCACAGCTACGCTGCTTTTATACGTGTGCTGGCTCCATGAGAGCTGGCGTCAGTGTGAGTACATGAGCAAGGGCATCACACCCCTATCTCCGAATGTAGATGTAGCCTTAGAAATATCGTGACTCTCAAAGCTGCTCTTCCCTGGTTTTGCTGGAGGACCTCTTGGGGAGGGGTGTGGGTGTGAGAGTGAGTGAGTGCATCTGTACAGTGAGTTCTTGCACTCGAGATGGGTGCGGCTGCTCAATCGGTGACAGATATTTCCTCCAGAATGTGTGTTAGTCATTGAAGTAAAGCAGGCATGAACAAAAACTAGCAAACCAGAGTGTTAAGCAATCTGACTAACAATCCCTTGCCCTCTCAGCTGTTGTGATGTGCTCATTTCACTGTCATTCATGACATTCAGGACCGATGAAACCTGAATTTCTAACACACAAAAACCCATTGGGCATGGGGGGAGACAACTGCCTGTCTTTAGCCCCCAGAAAGAAGCGTAAGTAATGGATGTAAGCCCAATTTCCCACCCTTCTTGCAGCTCCCCTTTCGAGCAGGCTGTCTCTTGACAGTAAATGTAAATGCTGGGTGTGTCCTGCTAGCATTTGCCCAGCAGGGGGAGATGTACTAGAAGAGAGCAAAGCACAGCAAGGGCGAAATAACACACGTTGCTGCTAAATGCTAGCAGAGAAAAGAGATCGCTGGGGCCAAAGAGGAGGACAGGCAATGAATGGAACAAAGGTGAGCGGTGAGGTGAGGAAGTGATGTGCAGTTAGTCTGGGGAATAATCCAAAATGCAGGAGGACAGAGCAGTTTCTCTTTCTGGTTGGACTAGAATAGAGGACACACGGCCCTAGACTGTATAAATGTCTAATGATCTGAATTAAATGTTAAATTTAACTTCTCTTGCCTAGCTCATAACAAATGCATCCCTTTATATGTGTGTTTCTCTCTGGACACAGGCTGAAAAACTCGCAGTGCTATGAAGATGGTTCTATTAGATATTTTAAAACAAAGCCCTTAAAAATTCAGTCCTTAAACTAGCCCAGGTGAAACAAAGGATTGAATGAAGTGTCTGGGGAAGTAGTCTTGTAACAGTGTCACTTAATACAAGGTACTTAAACTAACAGGACAATATAAGGGATTGGATGCTGATTAAGCTGCATAAGGAAAATGGAAATATAGTAAATGATACTGGCTCACGAAAGCTTATGCTCAAATAAATGTGTTAGTCTCTAAGGTGCCACAAGTACTCCTGTTCTTTTTGCGGATACAGACTAACACGGCTGTTACTCTAGATACTAGCATGGTTACAGAGCTAACTGCCCCCTCAGCCCGGCTCCCCACATGCACTTGTCACCCAGTATTTCTCATCAGTTGAGGCAGCCATGAGGGGCTTGTCCCCCTGCAGAACAGGCCTTAGCCAAGCAATGCCTTTTGTAAATGAGGGGTCCCCAGGAGCACCGCCAGCTTTTCTGCCACCCTAGGCGGCGGAAGGTCCCGCCGCCAAAATACCACCGCAGTCACCACCCCCCAAATTGTAGCACCCTAGGCGACCGCCTAGGTCGCCTAATGGATTGTGGGGGACCCCCCGGGCCGGCACAATCCATTGTTGCTAAGTGTGAACCCTCAAACCTTCCCCTGAGCTGAGTTCCATTCTCTGCCCGTCCCCTGAGTGGGGTGAGGGTCCCCTCTGGCAACACCCCAGTGACGCCTGGCAGTGGACTAGCCCTTTGACCGCCTAGGTTTTCACCCCGTGTGGAGGCTGTGGGGCCCCTTTGTTCTGTATCTGCTGAGTAGAGGTGAGCCGTTCTTCCTCCCCATCTGACTCAGGGACATTTCTATTGGGGATCTGGCTGTATTTTACTCTCGGGGTGGAGCCGGATAGGTGCACAGATAGCTGGAGTGTGAATTCAGTCGCATGTACATTTTACCTCCCCTTTGGGGCTATAGCCTCCTGATTAGCCTGCTGCATTGGAGGGCCAGCATCCCAGCCCTCCTCTGGCCTGAATATCAATATGCTCACCTGTCATGGCTCCATGCCAGTGGCTGAGCCTATTGGTGTCCTGACCCCTGGCAGCTAGAACACCTCAGATCTCTGGTCTATTTGCTCCCACCTCAGTCCAGTGCTCGTCCTTGGTTCCTTTCCTGATGGTCAGAATACACTGGATTAACTGATGTGGTCAGCTCTTGAGAGTTTAGCTGCCTGTCTGCATAACTCCACCTGCTGACTTTTCTTGAGGTGCTTGTAACTCATCCTTCATGTCCATCTTTTCCCTCTTCTCTTCCTGGAAAAGAATATAGGGCTGGTTTTCTTTTCTTTTTTTTCTTTTTCTTCTGCAGTATTTGCTTTCGCTGCTCTTGGCACTTCACCACTGTCCCCATCTCACTGCTGCCCCTGTATATGTCCCATTTACTGCCACTAACTACACCTCCGACTGCTTCTGGTCCCTTGAAACAGCCTCCCACCCGCCAGGTCTTGGGCCTTTAGCCATCTGGAATCATGCAATTCTCTCACACTCAGAATGGCCCCTGGGTTGCAGTATATCAACAGTGATTATCTCAGCAGGTCTGACTTCAGTTCAGACCCTGCAGTTTTGTTCCCTCTAGAGCTATGATGATAGTATCCAGAAACCAAACAGCCCCCTTAGAGCAAAGTATTTAGAACAAAAGCATTTCAGAGAAAAGACCTTAAAACAATGAAGCAGGCTATATGCATGACTGCCTTTCCCTAAGGCTTCGCCTTTCCTGGATCTAGGACCCAATGCTTTCCAGTGCCTCCAGAGTCTCTCCTCTGTCAGCTGGTCTCTCCCTGGGCAGCTCCGGACAATTGACCTCGTTTGTCCTGGGGAAGGTTTTTTAACTGTTTCCTGTTCTTTTGATCTCCAGTCCCCCAGCCTGGCAAAACAGCTGTGTCACTTTGGCCTGGAGTCTGGAATTAGGCCATTGTCGTTCATGTGTGTGCTGGGGTGTTCTCATCTGGGGAGCCGTTTCCTTGCCTTCCTGTTTGTTCTTCCCAGAGCATCTATTAAGCGAGATCAGTGCATTTATACAGGCAAGTCTTACTACCCGCTATACAATAACTTCACTGACCAGGTCACGTGCAGTGTTCATCAAATTATTACATCTCCGTATGCTTAGGTGATTACGTGGCAGCTCCTCATCCATCTCATATACCCACCTTTGCTTATGGGATCAGAGTCAGTTAACACTTCCTTGCCGCTCTAATTATAAACTGTTCAATTACAAAGTAAACAACACTGAAGTGGTATTCATCATTGTACCTACTGGACAGCACATGCCTGCATAGTTACATACAATACATACAGTAAACAAGCTTAGTTCTGGCTTTGGTGAAAGGCTTACCAAAGAAGAGTGCGTAAGATGCTATCAATAGCCATTTTAGAAATTTCATTATAAAGGGTTGGTGTATTATAGATACTTGTATATTGGTGAACAAGCAGATATTACTCAAAGTAGGTTTGCATTATTACTACCATAATGACTCTTAACGCTGGATGTGCATGATGCGCTAAATCTTCCAGTGCTTCATTGGGAGTTTTGACTGTAAATGAACTGCAGGATTTGGGGACATAAGTCATGCCTAGGGCACGGCCTAGGAAATAGCCAGGAACAAAATGGTAAAATGTGTCACATGATGTGGCACTTGCATCTGAGATCAAAAGGATTTCACAGCTTCTCATGTGGAAAATGATCCTCCGGGTAGTTTCTCACGAAAAAGGATGTTGTTTTAATCCTCCTTCATTTTAATGTCTGCTTAAGGAGTGATTTATCCATGGCAGGGTTTACCTAAAGCTTCCATTGTTAATACTAAAGCTTTCCCTTCATTATAACTGCTAATAAATATTTGATGGTGAAATTCACAAATTAGGTGACTGGGGCACAATAGATTACTTAGTTATTTCTCACCCCTGGGGGCAGAAATGTCAGATTGATGGAACCTGTCCTGAACAGATGGTTGCTTGTCTCAGCTCAATTTGTGAGGGAGGCAATATAACCCACCACCCAGTATTATCAGGCTTTCCAGCCATTCAGCTGATGTTGTTTGCATTTTATTTTTCTTTTCTCAAAGGAGCTGGAGGACCAGGATTTCATGATTTAACATGCAAGACCTGCTGCCCTGAGCCCTGCACATGCAGTGGTTGGGCTGTTGGTGTTGCCAGTCAGGTCCTGAATCACAAAGAAGGAAGAAGGTAGGTTTTACAGGCTATGACAAATCTCTCTCCTGTTTTGGCCCTTTCTCTCCCCTTGGGGTTAGAGCCTAAGCCAAGGGAGAGGAGTAACCTTCACTGATGAACCAGTGTGTCAGTTATTGAGTGGCTGTCACTGCGGAACTGTTGGGAAGCCGTCAATAGAGGTTGCTATGCTACCACCACTAATAAGAGTCAGAGGAGGAAGGGTGTGCAAATAAAAGGACAATAATAATAAGTGTTGATATCAACAAGGAGCTGGGATAAGCACCTGTTTCAGCCTGGTGCATAAAATCAAAAGCCCTTAAAGAGACCGTCAGAAAACCTGGGGCCAAACATAAGTTTCATGTAAAAAAAAAAAAAAAAAAAATTAATAAAACACGCTTTTAAATGTAAGAAGAGAATCTTATGATTGGACTTAGGGTTCTGCTATTCCCCTGTAGCCAAGTATTGCAGCACTGTGCTAGTTCATGAAAACCAGAAAGCAAAACTGATGAGTCTATATACACCATCCAACATGAAGGTTGATTAAAAAGTCAAGCAAGTATTTAAAATTGTTTTGGTTGTTAATAACTAAAACTAGTGCTGGGAACATAGACAAGGATTTTTTAAAAATCTTCTGAATACACCTAATGGGGGTATATCACATTGGCAAGAGAGACAATTTGACTTGCTAATTGACAAAGTCATGTTCTTTTAGAGCAAACTTTAGCTTTTCTCATGAGTTCAGTGTGTAACTTGTCTGGTTTCAGAGTAGCAGCTGTGTTAGTCTCCTCTCAGAGTTGGTAAGACAACTACCACCTTTTCATGCTCTCTGTATGTGTGTATATATCTCCTCAATATATGTTCCATTCTATGCATCTGAAGAAGTGGGCTGTAACCCACGAAAGCTTATGCTCAAATAAATTTGTTAGTGTCTAAGGTGCCACAAGTACTTCTGTTCTTTTTGTAACTTGTCTGTTTTACTTGGCTGACTTATCAGGCAACTATCACTGCAGTAATAACTTTAAACTTTCTTCACATGTTTAAAGACATGATTGTTTGTCTTAACACATTAACACAGCTAGGGTGACCAGGTGTCCCGATTTTTATAGGGACAGTCCTGATTTTTGGGTCTTTTTCTTATATAGGCTTCTATTACCCCCCTCCCCCGTCCCGATTTTTCACATTTGCTGTCTGGTCACCCTAACAACAGCAGAGTTTCCTCTTTCTAGATATATAGCTTCCTAGTTACTGTTCCATCTAGTCAGGGCCGGCTCTAGGATTTTTGCCGCCCAAAGCAAAAACAATTTTGGCCACCCCCCCCCCTTTATTTAATTACCCCACCCCCGGCCCCGCCTCAACTCCGCCCCTTCCCCAAATCCCCAGCCCTGCCTCCTCCCCCCAGGCTCTCAAGCCTAGGAGGGAGGGGGAGAAGCGGCACCGCGCCAC